TGCATGCTCGCTTTGCCTCAGATATGAATTTACTCTGGAAATAGGACAGGATATGAAAGCATCTCCACCCTGAATGCTCGTTAGCCTGCCAGGTGTGTCAAAAGCATATTCCAGGTCACAGACAGCCGGATCCAGTTCTGTGTCGGAAGGAGATGTTCTTGTCACACCTGTGGCAGTATTCTTCTCTTCACTTTTGCCAAGCAGTCTGTCACAGCACACATAGGAAATGGAGATGTTCTTGCAAAAGATGCACCACGAGCAGAGGCTATCAAGTAGCAGCTCCTTTATGTTCATGTATTTAGACAACCAAAGATCAGCAAAATAGCATGAGCACAGGAATTTCTGAGAAGGATAATTGTAAAAGAAAAGCCAAATCTTTGCATTTAAGATGTTGAGCTCCTTACAGAAAATCATAATATCCATCTGATAATGCCAGCGTTCCTTTTTCACGTTTCAAAACGAGAGCAATGTGTTGATGCTGTCCTCTTCTGCAGAAGCCACTGTTCCTACTCACTGCAACACCTCCACAAACTTAGCACAACGGAACAGTTGAGGCAGAACAGCTGTCTCTCTGTACCGACTTGCACATGTTGCAATCATGGTTTGTTCCCACATACTATCCATGTACCAGAAGAGAATTTATTTGGCAAAAAAAGATGCATTTTTTGGCCATTTGTTTCTCTCTTGCATTCAGACAGCGATGTGGAACTGCCATGAAGTATACCAAACAGCTCTTCTCGAGACATCCTGTTGGCTTACAATGTTCAAAAAAAAAAAAAAAGCAAAAAAAAAAAAGCACTGCTCTGAAAGGTACAACAGAGACAGCAACATAAGATTTTTAAAACTTGCATTTCTGCTAGATGCTGAATTCAGGCTGTCAAATCTTCCAGCCAGACAGATGGTGACAGTGAATTAGAGATTCAGCTATGAAAATCCTGAGGTTTTCAGTGGGAGTCACGTGCCTAAAGTCATTTAGCTTTGGAAACTAACTGGTCTCCCACCACAGCCAGTATTTGTTGTGTCACAGGTCCAGATGCACATAAACGTGTAAACCATGGCTCCTGTTCAGTTCTGTTTCTGAAGCTGCAGCCACAACATCAGTAGCTTAAGCTTTTTGAAGACTTTTGAATGACTACCCCATGCATTCAGCAGCAACTCTACTCCTCCACATTTATAGGATGCTGAAGAAAACAGGACCTACTCCAAAATCCAGGCAAGCTCAGAACATATACCAACAGTGTCTTAAATTTATTTTTTTAATTGCTTTGCCCTATAAATACAGCACCCTTTTCAGGTGACAAAGCATGATGCAAGGCTGAAGGGGTTAATACAACCTAGCTCAGCTGGTCTGTCACTGAGGTTTTACCTTAGTTTCCCTACTCGGCAGTTGTCTCTGTTAACACCATAGTAGCATCTTCCGTAGTCCCATGAGAAAGTAAAGCTTCTCTCTACAGAAAGATCAGAAACTTGCAGCTGTAACAAAGCATAATCCTTTATAAATGCCTTTTGCACTGGGAAGAGCCAGAGATACTAAATCTTGATCTAATACCATTTTAAAATCAGAATCCCAAGTCCAACCACCTTAGCCTTTTAAAGCTGTAGGTTTTGGCAATGTACAGGACCCTTTGTAAGTGAGGATCAGGGCTTACATTTTCCAGTAGGTCACATCAGCTGGTGTGTGAGGCAGCAGCGAAGGAGTTTTTTGAGCCTTGACTTAACGGTGCATAAAGAGCGACAAGTCAAAGGGATTCCACCTTAAAAAAGCCTTCTAAATCCCTTAACCTTGAGAAAAGCTATGCTCCACAGTTCCCTGCCTGCACAGATCCTGACAGATGGGGAATGTGGTTTCGCTTAAAGACACTAAGAGAAGAAGTATCTTCAAAACTCGCAAGAAAAACTGCAAGAGTGTTATTGTGACATGCCAAGGAAACATGGAGTTGATTGCACTTCTCTGGTATCCAAGAGTCTGTGTAATGGATATAGCCCAGAATTCGATATAGCAGTTCTGCCCTGGCATAGACCGTATTAGCTGTAGTTGCTGTTTCACCCATACATGCGCAGTTTCGAAATTGGTGGGGTGGAAAAGAGAAGCAAATGGAAAGTCGCTTAGACCATGGGGTCTACAGAGTAGATAATTTAAAAGGCCTTTTAAACTAACATTTATGATGGTAGAGAAGTTTACCATCATCACCTACTGATACACCAAATTGTGAGATTTATTACTTCAAGCTGTTGTGACTAAGCTGCATCCAAAGGCCTTCTCATTCAGCCTTAAAATTGAACAGAACCTCTAATCTTGATCCTATCAGTTTTTTTCTGCTTATCCTCTATTACACTTCAACTTAAAATCAAATGCTATTGCTGACACTCTTCAGCTCCAGTAAGCAAAGAAAAAAAACCCACAAGCAAGAATGACTTTTAATCACACAGGACAGGCATCAAAACCTGAAAACCGTTTGATAAATTGACACTTGTTTCTCACTGACATGAATCATCATCACACCATGGCATGCAAATGATGCGAACATGCCACGTGAGCTCGTCATCTCAGAAAACAAGCATCACCATTGTCAGCATTCAGAAAAACAGCCCCTCCCCACCCAATCCGTTTTTGTTGTCGTTGTCATCAGTCCTACAGAAGATTACTGTGCTCAAAGCTGTGCAGATCTTATTTTCATGAATATAAACTAATGCTCTGAGATGTCACAGGACAACGATTCACCTCACACGTCACTGCCAGCGTTCTTCAGTCAAAACCTACAATTGCCAGGCAAATGCAGAGCACATATATAGTGTCTATGGAAGAACTACAATGAACTTGCTTCGCTGTATACCCAAGCGACAAAGAGACCCACTTCTACGGTTACCTAATAGTCAACTTCTGCGTGGCCCACGGAGAAATCATCACCAGACCGTTCAGCACAGTCTGGGCACTAGGCAGGAGCCAACAGTGCAGCTCCAGTTCTAGCCCTTCGTGGTCTCAAACAACTCTGAACCTCTCCCCTTCATCTGCCTTTTCAGTCTACCTCTGGGGACGTAAATGAGAGCACACAGTTTGGTGGGTGGCAGGGATGCTTGAAGTTATATTTGGCTTCTATAAATGTAAGTCTCTAGCTTCTTCCCCTTTTAATGATATGACTTTGGTATTTTGACACCATCTTTCAAGAAAGAATGGCCAAAACAACAAAGTAAAATAAAAACCCGTCTAGTCATAATTCAAAGAGTAAGGGTAGTTGTTTGGTGTCTCGCTGCATAGGACAGGCTCAAAAATTAGATAGAAGAGGAGCTGGAACTGCAAAGCAGTCAGCTAAAATCAAACAGGAGGAGAGCTGCACAGATACCAAAGAATCACCAAACTATGAAGTTTCACAAAGCATCTGAAGTACTTCAAAGTCACAGGAAAGGTTCATTTCTCAGAGGTTGAGCGAAAGGCAAACAGTGAAGGGGGAGTTGTAAAATACTGTGCGCGCTATAAGGCACACTCCCCATCTTAGTTGTTACGGCAAGCGATTCACTAATGCTGATTTTGTAATAACTACCACTTACGAAAGCCCCTCACAAATAAAAATTATTTATGATGCTTTTAGGAGGCTTAAATAAAGCTCAGAGCAAATGCAAGGGTTTATTTCACTGTCTCTTCTCCATGAGTGGTTCAAACACTTTAAACTGATTAATAAGTTAAACAGAGATTGATCAGGGGTCTGTGAATGAATTGAAGCAACCAGGCTTCCTTGTTGGGAAGGGAAGGACAAGAGGTTAAACCACCCATGCTTTTATTAGGCTGAACAAAGCCACAATATTGTTTGATGTGAAAAAGGAATGCAGTTATAGTCATTTAAACAACGATTAGGATGAAAGTTTCCTCCAGAAGTCTTAAAGCTCCAAGTACACTGGTTGAAGACTACTAAACCACTAATCTGACAGAGAAAGAACGGTATTTTGCCATCTTCTCCTTAGTGTCATGATGGAACTTGGAGGGGTGGGGGGAAGAGAGAAGATAATTCTGCCTGTTTCCTGTATCTCCAACAAAAACGTGGGAAAATCGTCTGGGATCCTCTTCTCAAGTGAGTTGACAACTATGGTTCTTTACGTCACCACATTTAAACCCAAAGAACTCTGCTATACCTGGTTAAAAACACTCTCACATACACCATGCGGGTATATCTGTGATTCAACAACAGTGTAAATTATTTACATATGTCAGGAAGTTAATCCCAGTCTTTTCTTCCTCCATTTATGTGCCTGCTTTTGATCCTCTGCAGCCATCTCCTTAATTCCCAATAAAAGCATCATTCCTCTTGCTTCTGTTTCCCCCACCTAAGATGAAAACTGCCATGAAATGCTGAGAAGTTTCTCAAATCTCTAATGGGAAAATACCTGTGCAGCAGCACTAGGCTACCCAACTATGTGTTTTCAAGAAACAGTCCTTCTATAGGAGGGCATATTGTCTTAAATGTAGATTATGAGAATACAGTCGTTTCTTCACTGTTTGTCACTACTGTATCCCAGATCCAGGAGGCTGCATGTATTCTGCTACTGAGCACCCAATAGGTGTTCATTCTTGATACTCTGGTATCTCAGGAAGGATTCCTCTAGAAGTACTGGAGTGATCATCTTCCTCCGTGTTTTTCCTCCCTTTCTACAAATTTAAACTTTCGATTTATAAAGTATCATCATTGAAAAACAAAACAAAAATCAGCATGGATGTCCTCCCTTTCCCCCTAAATGCAGGCTGACCAACATAAAAGCTTCCCAAAAAAGCATACAAACTCTCTGATCTCCTCAAGTCTGTGATAACAAAGCTCACTTATACTGCTGATGATGTTCACAGAGTTAACCACGGTATTTCTCTATGGGCCAATTTTGCGTAACTTCTTGTGGTGGGCAGAGCTGGAGATTCCTTATCCTTGGTTTGTAGTTCCTCAGATGTGTCAGGTACTCCAGAACACCATATCCCACGTTACCTTAAATTTCCCAGGTTAAAATATATCATTACTCACCTTTTTCCCCTCTGTACTATCACCACTGACATAGGACAGTTTTCGACGGACATAGAAGAGCATATCATCTTGCCGGGGGGCCCATTTCTCCATAAAATATGTTGAAAACATCCAAGTCCAGAACACAATACGGTCATCTTTGAAACACCCTAAGAGGCATAAGAGAAAGGAGAAATAAGAGTTGTGGAATCAGCATGTCACATTTGATTGTGCTTAACAAGACACCCAAAGTCTTTGCCACACATGGTGCAGTCAAGCCCAACTGTAGCAGAAATATTCTTGCAGAGCTCAGAGTAAGTTTTTCTACAGTGTAGAGCATAGCCACCATTCCACACGAACCCACAGCCCGTCTTTGGCCATCACCAACCAAAACCACCTTCTGGCAACCAATCTGCCCCGTGCACAAGCACAGATCAGGGCCCATGAATATACCCTGGCTATGCCTGTGCCACGGAGGAGGACAGGACCAGCACACTGAGCAATAATACGTCAAAGCAGCACTCAAGGAGTAATTTCCAAGGCATGCAGTGCCAATATACGCTCCAGTTAATGATGTGAAGCCATCAACTGCCAACAGGTTTATTATATGCTCTCAGGGAGTATAGCCACTCCTTCAGAAACGAGCAGCTGATACCTTCCTTAAGTCAATACACAGGAACAAGAATGTACCTGTGCAGGGGTGACTGTAATTCACCCTCTCTCTGACAAGGAACAAAACCCAGCTCTTCCTCAAGAAAATGAGGAGTTTTGAAGTCCTGAATCCAAATTAAACAAGAAAAAGTAGGGGGAGAAGGGGAAAAATGAGAAGAGGAAGATGCAACAAAGTCTTGTTCAAGGAGACAGACAAATTACATCAGCATCAGCAACAGCATGGCAGTTGGCCTCTCACCAGGAAAAGGAGGCACAGTAGAAGTGACATCACATTTTGTGAACCTCTTCAAAGCACTTAACTATAATAAAACAGCAAAAGGTGCTGCATCTCTTCTGTGCTGTAATGCTTGCACACTGTTAAAGACCAAAATTTATACAGACAAGGAGAGAAGTCACTACTGTGCCTGGTGACAAGGAAGCTGAATTTCTCCACTGCTGCTCAGTCCTACTGGAGGCTCCTTAATGGAGTAATTGCATCCCATCCCCAAAGCCCTACTGCGAGGTAACTGTGGCTGTTAGCCACAGTCTAGCTGTTTTAAAACCTGTGAAGAAAGAAACACTAAAAAATTATATTGCTGAGAAACAGCAAAAACCTGAAACGGATGATGGATGGTAGTGTTATGTACAGGACAGCGAGACAGGTGGGGGGGTGTACGTACACACATGCAGCTGACAACCCGTCCTCCAGAACATCTATCCTTTACAGTGGCTTATTTCCCTAAAAGCTATACATTGGCTGACAGATGGTTACACATGTCGCTCCCCAGCCCTCGGCTACCATTCAGGTTGGTGTGTTTCCCTCCCAGCGGTACACTGCACGTATGAAATAGTTCTGCAGAGAGAAGAATCTTGCATGAGACAGAAGTGACATTTATTTACAGCGATACCTGGATTAAGCTTCAGAAGATTTTCCAGTCAATTGCCAAGAAAGCTGACACATACCATAACAATGAACACGATTTTTCTTAGGCACCGGTGGCTAACTTCAGGGCTTCATAAAGCAATCAATCTTTTAATCCGTAAGTGTAACTCAGCACATTTTCCTACTTCACTGTGTGTGCAATATTTGCAAGACAAATCTTTCTTCCAATCTTTAATTACTGTGGTGGGCAGGAGATTAGACTTTCAAATTTTTTAGCAGACAAATGGGTGACCAAAATCAAAATCTTAGGTCTCTCCAACTAAATCCAAAAGTAATATTGAAAATAAAATGAAATTCCACTGATGGAGCGTGCACAGAATACGTTAATCAACATCAAGTAGGATGGTATTTGAAAATATGTATATAGCTGATTATATTTAAAAAAAAAAAATAATGAAAAGGCTGAGAGAGAACAGAAAAAGGCCAAGGTAGTTAGTTCCCAGTGCAGGTTAATTCCAGGCCACGCTGCAATTGCTTTATTTGCATGGCTGCAGAGAAGTCATTTCAATTACTTAAGGCGTCATAGAACATAATGTGCAGTCATGAATAAAATCTGCAATGCACTTAAGTACTATCCAGTTTTTCCAGCAGAGAAAGGGAATCAAGCACTGGGGAGATCAGATACAGGATGCTGGGCATCTGTACCATCTGAACCCCTCCCTCGGGCACAGGTGAACAGCTATATCTGAGAGCCTACCACATAGGAGGGGATTCAAGTGTGTTCAGACTCCCAAAACCAGGCCGAGAAAGGACAGGATTATCATCAGTCAGTATATTCACAGATAAACACCGAGAAGAGAAAAAGAATACTCAGGTGTAAGGATATAACGCTGGCACAAGGACAAATGGCTCTAAACTACCCACCAACACATATATAGGCTGGAAATTCAAAGCCGATTCCTAAGCATTCAAGCCATGAAGTTCAGGAGCAGCCCCCTCAGTTGGAATAGTGAAGGCAAAAATCTCTACAGCTGTAAAGATAGAGTTCAGCTTGGTTAAGAAGGTTCATGTGGTACTAGTGACAGCGGAGGACACCATGACCCAGTCCCGCCTCTGTATTTAGCGAAGGGTAGAAAACAGGGCATGCATTCATGGTGATTCATTAATGGTCTCAAAGAAGCTTATTAAATCTCATGGGTTTTGAGTACCTGAATTCCCAGCCTTAATTAAATGGGGAGGGGGGAGGAAAGGGGGAAAGAGGATTGACCTGGGTTCATCTGGAGTTCTAGGAAAATCAAAGGAAAAAGAAAAAAAGAATCTATGTTCTGTAAGAAACATCTCTGAAAAAGTTCTAGTGTTCAGAAGGACATCACTTTGGTTTTGCTTCATAAATGAGTAAACAAAATAACCCTAGCCAAGCCGCGCCTGAATTTATATAAGAACATTTTTCTATCGGGGGGGGCGGAATATTTTTCCCTTATAAAGCAAAAATCATCAAGTTATCTAAACCCATCATTACAAACAAGGCTTAAACCATTTTTAGATTCTGGCAGTACCTGCAAAAAATCTGAGAAGCTGTCATATGAGCTGCTTACACCATCAGATAAGTTTTATGCAATAAAGCACAGGAGTTAATACGCTCTTCTGAACTACTGATGGGTGGTTATAACAGAGCATTAATACATGCAGGAGAATCAAGTTATCTAAACCCATCATTACAAACAAGGCTTAAACCATTTTTAGATTCTGGCAGTACCTGCAAAAAATCTGAGAAGCTGTCATATGAGCTGCTTACACCATCAGATAAGTTTTATGCAATAAAGCACAGGAGTTAATACGCTCTTCTGAACTACTGATGGGTGGTTATAACAGAGCATTAATACATGCAGGAGAACAGCAGAATGGGGTAAGGTACCAGGACTTTGTGTGTGCTTTTACCCATGCTGGGGAACACAAGACAAACTGATTCAATGTATTCGACATTAGTCTAAACAGAAAACCAGAGGACAGAAGTGCTGCGGCAGTGAAGCTACTTCAGCACTGCAGCATAGTGCAGGGGAGAAAAAAAACTGAAAACCCTTATAGCAATGTTGGATGGCCATCAATTCAAAACCCCACCTGCAACAGATTAGATGTGAAATCGTCCTCCAAGCTTCAGGGATACTTGCAGACATTGCTGTAATTAAAACCAGCCTGAGGACATTCTAACTGTTCTGACTGCAGTGGCAAAAGGACATTTCTTGAAGCCAAAAAGAGCCAAATCACTGCAACACAGCTGCTTTTATTAAATTTTAGTAGAAGCAGGAAGGATGGGGAACAGCATACAAGATGAATTAGCCTTTAAAATCTACTATTAAATAGAATTAACTTGGAAAGGAGACAAGAAAATTTGTAATTGTAATCCAGACTTCTTAAAACTTGAGAGGGGGAAAAATCTATTCCAATTTCAAGCCAGAAACTGTCAGATCCAATATGTCCACTCAAGCTTGCCTTCAACTACTAGATCCCCAAAAGCACGGCGTACCCTTACAGTTATTTTGCTGGTTTACAGCATCTCATGGGAAGCCTTCCAGCTTTGCCAAGAAGAAACTTGGAAACTGCTTTTAAAATTGTTTTGGGTAATGGTTTTGAAACTGTCAGGCTAACAGCCCAGCAGACAAAGTTATTCTTTTCAACAGACAGAACAAAGCACAAAGCCTTAATTCCTCAGACTTTGCCACAGCACCCTATTGAGGGGCCTCAGCTGCGCTCAAGATTGTAGGGCTCAGAGAGCAGTTCTGTCCCCATTACATGCCACCCACCAAAGAAGCGGACAGACTCAGCTCGCAGTTGGATTGCTGATGACCTTTACCCTCTGCTATTGTACTCCATACTGCTTCTATCCACCTGGCAAGGACTGAGATCAAAAACAGAAGCCAATTTTTCATAACCTGGACAATCATGAGTTGGCAGCAGCTTTCTATCACATTGGTCCATCGCCGTTTGCACAACACTCAGAAGATGTGCACATATACACTACTGTTAAGTTGGAAGGCCCTTAACAAAACACCTGGCCCTTAAAAGCCCTTGAAGCTTTGACTTCAGCATTTGGGGAGACCTTTTAAAATGCTAACAGTTTTATTTTTGCCAGAGGAGAATTTGAGCCTTCTGCAACACCAGAATTAGATGATATTTGCAAAGGAATCAAATTCCATCTATAGTTGAGAGCGTGTAGCAAGAGCAAGACAGCTTCCTGAAAACATTCCTCCCCTAGCAAATTCTGCTTCTAAATGAAAAAAATGGAATTAAGAGTTCAGACTATAAATCTTAATACACTAAAAGTTGATTATATAATTATGAGACCTTTGTCATGAATAAATCCTAATTACAACAATTTACTATAATGATTCATTTACATGGATTTTATCCTCATTAGAAGCAAGATTTATGCCAGCTGCTATGTAATAAATGTCTTTCTTTTTACCTATTAGATTTTTATATTGAGCATTCATTTCAGGGAACTGACTCCAGATCTACATAAGAAGTTGTAATTTTTTTTTTTTTAATTAATGCTTTCCAAAAAATCAGTGGATAAAGAGAAGTGTCAGCATATTATTTTGCTTCAAAGGAATAGAAGAAAAGATTTCCCATT